CCGGGACGTCCCGTGACCGGACGCAGCCTTGGCGTCCGGCCCGCCTCTGCCGCCGCCGCCGTTTAGCCATCTTTTTTTTAATTCACAATTTAATCTACATAGTTAATAAAAAAAAAAAAAAATTCCTTGGCTTCGAATCCAAAAGAAAAGGGATAAGTCTAAGAGGAAGACCAGTCGAAGCGATACTTCTTCCCATCACATACTCTCCTGTGTATTCTCGCACCACGTCACAGCCTTTGTTACACTGCCTGTACCCACCTGTTTATTTGTCAGTCTCCTGGACTATCAGCTCCTTGAGGGCAGGGACCACACCATTATTGATGGCATCCCTGTGCCTGACATAATGCCTGAAATGGACTAGCTATTTAAGCAATGTTTGTTGACTAAACACTTTATTTACAAATCAATAAAAAATGAATAAATTCATTCTTCATGAAAATCTATTCCAAAATGCAAAGATAGATTTTGAGCTCAGTTCTGACTCAAAAGCCTATGTTTAACCTGTATGAAGAAAAGGGATTTTAAGTAGTTGATACTTTAAACTTAATTGGGGGAGGAATAAATATAGAAACACCTTTTCTTTATTTTTTTTTTCTTCTGCAGAGGTTTTTGCTGTAGAAAGCGTGCGCTCACCAGAAAGACAGAGAGAGAAAGAAAGTGAGAAATCACCCCCAAGGGGAGATGGCCATGCTGCAATCCCTTCTCCTCTCAGGATCTTGGGCACACACGCACACACACCCAGGGTGAGTTTAAGCCGGTGGGTCCAGGACTCAAGCAGCGGTCAACTACATGGGAGTCCAGCAACACAGCCATTATGCCAACTGCTGGTCCCTAGAAACACCTTTTCAAACTTTGTCTACTCATCTTGAGAGAGCCTTTCTGAGGAATAAAGTTCAACATTCTCTTTTTATTTCTTTGAATTATTTATTTTCATTTTATTTATTCTTCTTACTAGTATTATTTAATTTGTTATAGGGCATGTGTGCTCGCTCACCAAAAAGAGACAGAGAAGGAGAAAAAGAGAAAGCAAACCACTGTGTCTGGGACTCAAACCACAGTCAGCCATGGGGGAGTCTGACACCTTAACTATCACATCATCCACTGGGCCCTACCCCCAATCTGATTAAATATTTAATTAGCCTATCATATTGAGATTTTAGAGATTCAAAACCATGTTGTAGGTGACATCAGTTAAAATTGTTCATTAAGGACCTCTGAAAATCCCTCCATAAAAGCTACAACAAAAATGGCAAAATAAATAAAGTCAAAATCAATGTTATAAATTCAGGAAATTTAACCAAAGGCTTGTAGCAACTCAAGGAGCACTTATTCAAGAAGAATTGTTGAATTTCTGTCAGAATAATGAGATGGATTCTTCGCAGCTCTTGCATGGCATAGGGGAGTATGCGGACCAAGGCCAGAGCCCCATGGATTCTGCACATGCTATTCATCTGCTCCAGGTGCCAGTACCTCTTGCTCCCAGCTTCTGCCCCACCATTCTCCCTGGATCCTGTTCTGCAGAAGCGAGTGTGTGGACCGAGGCCAGAGACCACCTCAGAAACTTCACTCTCTCCCATTCTTCACAGACTTTTTAGTTTTCTAAAGCACACAGCACTTATCAGTTGAAACCCTGAAGCTCAGGATCAGCAGTCCTGGACCTGGTGGCTTAAACACATGCCAGGTACGTGTGTGTGCGTGCGCCCAAGATTTCGTGAGGAGAATGGAGAAGAACAGATTACAGCATGGTCATCCCCCCCGGAGGGGGGGAGGATTTCTCACTTTCTGTCTCTCTGTCTCTCTCTTTCTATATGTCTCTCTCTTTCTATCGGGCGAGTGCACATGCCCTTATAGCAAAAACCTCTCAAAAATAAATAAATAAATAAATAAATAAATAAATAAATAAATAAATAAAAGAAACTGTAGGTCAACCCAGGTGCATCTGTTCTCTAGAATCTAGGAGGCATTTGGAACACCCAATCCCAGCAACAAAAGTACAGGTTATAGGGTAAGCAACAGGGAAACAGGGCTACATAGAGTACCCAGATCACATCCTCCTGCACAACTTTGGACACTAAAAATTAACTCTAAGAAATTAGGAAGAAACATGTAATCCATCAGAAAACCAGAAACCACCACAAGACTATATCTCCCACCCAAGATAAAATCACAACTCCTCATCATCCACAGATAACACAATAGAACTCATGGAACTGCCAGATAAACAATTCTGAATACTCATAGTGGCAAAACTTAACAAGATCCAAGAGAAAAGAGACAATGAACTCCAGAAGATGTAAGAGAAAAGAGATAACAAGCTACAGGAGATGAAGAAGTCTATTCATTATTTGAAAGTAGACATAGACACTATTAAAAAAAAAACAAATAGAGCTGTTAGAGATGATATGAGAAATCAAAATCTCCCTTGAAAGTATTAAAAGTAACGATTATTTCAATGACTCCATAATCTCTGATGTAGAAGACAAAAATCACTGACCTAGAAAAAAAAAGATAGAGAAAATAACCAAAGAAAATGAGGATAATATATGAGAAATGCTAGATTCCATTACATGTCCAAACATCTGAATAACTGGTATCTCAGAAGGTGAAGAAGCTGATAAAGGCATTGAAAATCGATTACATGAAGTCCTGGACACCTAGAGAACCATCTAAACATACAGACCCAAGAAATTCAAAGGACCACAGATAGAATCAACCCAAGAAGATCTTCTACAAGGCACATTATAACCAGACTGGCCAAAACAACAAATACAAGATACTAAAATTGGCAAGAGAGAAATATTAACTTACTTACAAAGGTTATCCCATCAGGCTAACATTGGACCTCTCCCTGAACAATGAAAGCAAGGAAGAATTGGGGAAATATATTCAAAGTGTTAAAGGAAAAACAATTTCAACCGAGATTACTATACCTGGAAATATTACCTTTCATATAGAAAGAAAAGATAAATACATTCTCAGGTAAACAAAACCTGAAAGAATTTT